CGATGATTCCACCTCGGGGAATGAAACGACTTAGGGTTCAGAAGGAAAATATAAGGAAGCCTGCTGAACCAGCAAAGGAGATAATTAGCTCAAGCCTCCACCTAAAATTTACTTTCTTTTTTTTAACATCTTTATTGGGGTATAATTGCTTTACAATGGTGTGTTAGTTTCTGCTTTATAACAAAGTGAATCGGTTATACATATACGTATGTTCCCGTATCTCTTCCCTCTTGCGTCTCCCTCCCTCCCAGCCTCCCTATCCCATCCCTCCAGGCGGTCACAAAGCACCGAGCCGATATCCCTGTGCCAGGCGGCTGCTTCCCACTAGCTATCTACCTTACGTTTGGTAGTGTGTATATGTCCATGCCTCTCTCTCGCCCTGTCACAGCTTACCCTTCCCCCTCCCCATATCCTCAAGTCCGTTCTCCAGTAGGTCTGCGTCTTTATTCCTGTCTTACCCCTAGGTTCTTCATGACATTTTTTTTCTTAAATTCCATATATATGTGTTAGCATACAGTATTTGTCTTTCTCTTTCTGACTTACTTCACTCTGTATGACAGACTCTAGGTCCATCCACCTCATTACAAATAGCTCAGTTTCGTTTCTTTTTATGGCTGAGTAATATTCCATTGTGTATACGTGCCACATCTTCTTTATCCATTCATCCGATGATGGGCATAACATTTACTTTTGATTTAGGAACCTTTATCAGATATAGAGCTACCTTTCACTGTTGCCACCTAGAGATTTGTAAAAAAAAAATAGTTAAGGTGAAATAGTTCAGAACAATGTATTTTAAGAACACAGGCCTCATCATGTCTGTAAACTGCAACCCTAACTTCCCTTTGGAAGTTGCACAATGCTATTTTGAAATGGTTTCAAATGCTTATTTGACCTGGAGCTGGCTCTTTGGTCTGCGTGCCCAGCTCCATTCTGGACTAGGTCTGCACCAAACACCAAAGTGGCTTTCACTGGGCGCGAACGGGAAGTGGCCACTAGCTGTTCCGAAAATTTTAAACTCAGGGACCTACACAAGGAAGCCAAGGCAACAGAAACCAGATTCCCCAACAGTGCTCTCCACCCTGCTCACCCTGCGCTTATGTCCAAGGACCTCATCTCTCCAGGCAGCTGTCTTTCTCCTCCAGTGAGTCGAAGTTACCGCACTGTGCTTACATGGAGAAGTCTATCAAAGTGGCGTTATTTTAAACTTTGCTTCCCGTCTGCCCAAGAGTGTGACATCTTGCTTTCAATAGTTGGGTTACTCTACACAAAGTATGTTGGTAGCAAGAACAGGACAGAGGGATGATGCAGGAAAATGGCATTCAAACAGCCTCCCAGAGTCAAACTGTTTTGAACAAAAATGGTAGGAGTTTGAACTTGGTGTTCTTGAAAAAGACAAGTCCAAAAGGGGACATTACAGAGTGGTTTGCCCATATTTCAAATGCTTTACTATTGCAATGCAGCAATCTGATGTGTACATGTGATTTCCTCTGCTAGGCGAAGTTTGAGGTCACAAATCCTGTTTATTATCCGTATCCAGAAAAGTGCCTGACTCATAGCAAAATTCAAGCATGACTCAGTCAGACATATGAACGAATGCACAAATAAGTCTCAGGATGTAGTCTTTTAGGAAGTAGAAATTATAAATATGATTTAGATGCCATTCTTTCAAAATCCCTTAAAAGGAGGACATATTCACGTTTTCCGTCACTTAAAGCATTTATTTTTAAAACCATGTTTCCAGGGACTTCCCTGGTGGTGCAGTGGTTAAGAATCCGCCTGCCAATGCAGGGGCCATGGGTTTGATCCCTGGTCCGAGAAGATCCCACATGCCAAGGAGCAAATGCGCCCGTATGCCACAACTACTGAGCCGGCGCTCTAGAGCCCGCAAGCCACAACTACTGAGCCCACGTGCCACAACTACTGAAGCCCGCGTGCCTAGAGCCCATGCTCCACAACAAGAGAAGCCACCGCGATGAGAAGCCCGCAACGAAGAGTAGCCCCTGCTCGCCACAACTAAGAGAAAGCCCGCGTGCAGCAATGATGACCCAACGCGGCCAAAAATAAACAAATTAATTTAAAAAATTTAAAACCATGTTTCTAATGTCAAGAAATAACAATACCGTCCCTTAATAGCATGATGATTGAGTTAAACCGATGAGCTAATGACAGCTACTGCCAATGTTTCTTAGAGGAAAGAATAAAGATGTTTATTTCATAGAGACACCATGAGGAAAAATAAATAAAACAGTTGGCTTGCATTTCCTCCTGCAAGTCAGTCTCTCAGACTTAATTTGGAATTTGTTCTTTCTAGGCACCAAGAGAAAATGGGCTGCCACCTCTACACTCAAACTGGACAGTCTTCCTCAAGCAGTTTAGATATGAGAAGGCAGAGGGGGCTGCTACATGGCGCTCCGTCCCCACCACTGCCTTCCTCCCCTGCAGAACATTTCCTGGCGTCTGCATGTCACGTGGTTCTGTCTTCCTCATCCCCAATTTCAGCACCCCTCCCTTCAGGCTGCAAGGTAAGGCAGGATAGGAACACACGGCTGCCTGTCTCTTCGGTAAAAAGTGTTTTCCCCCCATCTCAGATGTTAGGTCTTGTAAGAGGGCTAATTAAGCATCCTGCCAAAGAGAACTGCCAATGATTTATGATTGCTGAGGGTGCCCTTAATGGATTTTTATATAATTTAAAGACCTGCAGCATGATATGACCTCAGAGACCATTTAGTAAAGTCTATTTTAAAAATGACAAAATTATCACCCAAAGTCCACAGTTTACATTAGTATTCACTCTTGGTGTTGTATATCCTATGGATTAGGACAAATGTATAATGACATGTATTCACTATTACAGTATCACGCAGAAAATTTTTTTTACTGCCATAAAAATCCTCTGTGCTCTGCCTATTCATCTCTCCTTCCCCCTTGACCCCTGGCAATTCATTGACCTTTTTCTTGTTTCCACAGTTTGGATGATAATGATGTGTTAACTATAGGTCCATCAGTAGTAACAAATGCACCACTCTGGTGGGGTGTCGATAATGGGGAGGCTGTGCATGGGGTGGGGGCAGGGTGGGTACGGGATATCTTTGTACCTTCCTTCAATTTTGCTGTGAACCTAGCACTGCCCTAAAAAAACCCAAAGTCTTAAAAAATAACAAAATGGAGACTTTGACAGGCTAAGTGACCTGACTAAGGTCACAGAGCTGGCTCCCCGTGGACCAAGACTAGAATGCAGGGTCCTCATGGTGCAAGCTTTATGCACCACACGTTGCTACCCTGCATCCCGCAATAACAAGAAAAAGTCAAGAAATACTTACTGGAGGATCTCCTCTAGGTCCAACTGAATCACCCACTCACATGAGGGAAGTGGGGCAGGTCCTGAAGTTTACATCTGGGTTCTGTTTTCACCATCTCCCCACCTCCGTCCAGGACTGCACACACACACCCCAGTGCCTCCAGGCTTTTGCTAATGCTGTGCTCTGTGCCTGGAAGACTTCCTCCTCCGTCTCCAGCTGCTACTTGCCCCTGAAGGTGAAGCTTCCTCTGGGCAGAATGAATCCCTCTCTCACAATCCTCAACTCTGAGTACTTTGCAGATAACTCAATGATAGAACGTGTTAAGTACTGTAGTTACTTATCAGCCCTCCAATTAGACCCTGAGCTCCATCAAGCAGGACTGGATCTTAATTACATTCGCATTTCCAGAAACAAACTCTGTGATGGGGTACAATTTATGTGCTCACAAAAATGTAGAGAGGACACAAATCTAAAGTTTCTCTTTCCCAGAGTACACTTTAAGGCTAGAAAACAAAAATAAATACAGCTTTTACAATGAAGCAGCTGATAGAATATATTGAATATTGTACATTTAGGAGATCTGGTAGGGGACAAACTATGTATCACTCGGATATACAAATATTCTTTCCTTTACATTAGAAACATGATTGTCAATGGTACTGTCATTTTTCATTGTTCTGAAACTGTTAATAACATTTAAGTTAGTAAGAGTATAGGCAATCATTTGCTTTAAAAATAAAAAATCACACAAGATATATAAAGTATATAAAGAACAGTTTGGTCCTCAGTCATGGGTACTCAATGGGAGTCATTTTGGAAGGTTTTAAGGCCATCAGTTATGAGAAGGCGCAGATTAAATAATGAACCTGGAGAAGCCTAGTTTTAGATTGTGATCACATTAAGAACAAGGCAAAAAAAATCAAGGTCAGGCAGTCACTGTTTTAGAGTCCTTGCTGCTTTAGGACCAAAACTACATTGAATTGTGTTAAAGCAAAAAACTACAATAATCTACTTTGCAAGTTTCAAATAACCAATTATTTCATTCAAGATTTAAAGAGATAAAGTGAATGTTAACACAGTGAACAAAGATGGTTAAGCTCTTTTTTCCTAGCACATACACAATGTATAATGGTGCATTATTAGAATTAAAGTTTTAGATCAAAAAACTATCTTTTTAAAGTATCTTTTGCTCTACTTTATAGGTTCCTGTGAATTGTATTTTCCCTAAACACAACATTTGATCTGTTCATCTATTTTGCTTTATAAGCAATTGACAGAAATGTAAATATACATATATGTAGAAGTGGCTATCTTTTACATAGGACAGCCCAGAATTTAGTAATACGTATAGGCTTTCTGGCTGTTCTACTTACACATAAAATGAATTTTAGAGAAGAAACATATTTGGTATTTATTCTAATGAAAGCATATTAATTACAATATATTTTTGAAGGTTATTTTTAAAATCTTCATTTTTTATGGTTTTATTTTTTTTGCGGTACGCGGGCCTCTCGCCGTTGTGGCCTCTCCCGTTGCGGAGCACAGGCTCCGGACGCACAGGCTCAGCGGCCATGGCTCACGGGCCCAGCCGCTCCGTGGCATGTGGGATCCTCCCGGACCGGGGCATGAACCCGTGTCCCCTGCATCGGCAGGCGGACTCTCAACCACTGCGCCACCAGGGAAGCCCCAAAATCTTCATTTTTTAAGTTCGGATGATGCTCAACCTTTTAACAGGAATGTTGGTTTGTTAGATTTGACCATCTTTCTTTATTACCCTTAAAAGTTCAAACATAAAACAAGGAGGAATGTAGGTCTATTAAAAAAATATGAATACTTGTAGCAATAGTTTAAATTATTTAGCCCACAAAAACATTGCTTAAGAAATCAAGTTCAGCTTAATTGTAAGGAAATGTAATTAGGCCCAAGGCTGGGATAGTTTACTCTCCTTTTGGCTGCAGGTTATACTTTTGTGGCTGGAAAAAATGTTCTTCAATAGCACTGACTAGTTCATTTAGTTCTTTCTTCAGCTGGTCGGGATCACTGCAAAATAAAGGGGAAAAAAAATTCCAGGTCAGTGGATTATTCGAAAGCATATTTTAAAGATTCCTCACATAGATCAGTTAACATTGATATTTACCCTTAAGCGGAGGGCTAAATCAGACAAAACAGAACTCCAGTTACTTAAGCATGGGAACACATCTGTGAGGTAGACAAAGAACTCATGTGACAATATTCATATTTTCCGCAAAGGCCTTCCTGAGGTCTCTACTATAAACAAAAGCACCCCTTTGCACTTCTCATAAGAATTTTTAAGAAACACAATTTGTAGCCTAGCATCCCTAAAAGTTCTGTCTGTACCTAACAGTGCAGAGAAAACTTTCATGACTTCAGCTGTCATTAAATCCTGCTGAACTTTTACAAATGACATGGCTGGCAAGTCTTTGGTCTCCCAGGATATGAATGTTCTTGATCCTGTTTGTCTTCAAACTATTGGGAGCTCGGCTACAGCCTCCTGTGTCGGGCCTTCCCAGGATGGAAGAGATGGGGAGCCTCCTAGTGGGCCTGCTGGTCACTCACCCGGAACTCAGACCCTGAGACCCCTTGTTTATTATTATTTTTTTAACATCTTTATTGGAGTATAATTGCTTTACAATGGTGTATTAGTTTCTGCTGTATAACAAAGTGAATCAGCCATACACATACATATATCCCCATATCTCCTCCCTCTGGCGTCTCCCTCCCACCCTCCCTACCCCACCCCTCTAGGTGGACACAAAGCACCGAGCTGATCTCCCTGTGCTACGTGGCTGCTTTTTATTCTACTTTGGGAACAAAAGGGTCACAACTAAAGTATAAACAAAAATCCTGGGAACTAGATCCCTTTAAGGAAACCAAGTTTTCAAGCATGTGGAAAACACTCATTTATGTGCAAACAATTGGAAGGTTGATAACAGATAAAACAGACTTGTAATTAGACAGGTGTCTAATTTATGTGGCAGCCTTACATATCAGGTTACTAGCATGAGGTGAGTTACTATAAGTACTTAAAACCAAAAAGCTCAATAGAAAAACAAAAATCCTTCAATTCAAACTTTTAATACTTCATACTTGACCACCTTTAATATATGCAAACTTAACTTTAACGGAAAGGGCAATCTTTGTAATTAGTTAATATCATTTTTGCATTGTAACAGTTAACCAGTACAACTAAAACAATCCATTTTATTACAGACATTAATTCTGGCTGTACTACTTACTAGCTGTGTGCCCTTGGGCAAGTGAGTCAACCTTTCAAAGGCCCAGATTCCTCATCTGTAAAACTGAGATAAAGACTATTTTCTCAAGAGAGTTGTCGTATAGATTGAGATAAATTATAGAAAGCAATTAGCACAGAACCTGGCCCAAAAACCTCAATAGATGTAGCTGTCATTATAATTACTTTTACCCCTCCATTGGTAACATATTTCGTAATTATGCTTCATAAATATATATGAATTACACAAGTCTTTTCTTTTCCTTCTCCATAAATGTGCTCTGAAGAAAACAAGAGTTCTCAGGAAGGCACACTGACTAATAATTACTGTTTGTTTTTTTTTTAATATAAATTTCTTTCTTCCTTTCTTTATTTTTGGCTGAGTTGGGTCTTTGTTGCTGCACGCGGGCTTTCTCTAGTTGTGGCGAGAGGGGGCTACTCTTCATTGTGGCGCGCGGGCCTTTCATTGCGGTGGCTTCTCTTGTTGCGGAGCACGGGCTCTAGGCATGCGGGCTTCAGTAGTTGTGGCTCGTGGGCTCTAGAGCGCAGGCTCAGTAGTTGTGGCGCATGGGCTTAGTTGCTCTGCAGCATGTGGGATCTTCCCGGACCAGGGCTCGAACCCATGTCCCCTGCATTGGCAGGCGGATTCTTAACCACTACGCCACCAGGGAAGCCCTTATTGGTTTTCTTAAAACAATATACATAAAACAAAACTCATCAATGAATTTACTATATATCCCCTGCTGGTTTTGTTTCTCCGTTAGAACCTTGCTTGAGACTATTACCTAAATCTTGAGATAGTAAGAGAGTGTCCTCGTTCTTAGCAGTTGAGTATTGAAGTCTGCAACTTATTTTCAAATGGCTGAGAAAACAAATAAACCAACCCAAATATATAATATTGATATGTATGGTGAGTGAGAGCAAATATTGCAAAATGTTAGCAACTGCTGAAACTAGGTTAGGGTAGGCAAACTATGGCTTGCAGCCTGTTTGTGTAAATAAAGTTTTATTGGAACACAGCCACACCTATTCTTTTATGTCTGTGGCAGCTTTCTGGCTACAACAGCAGAGTTGAGTGGTTATAACAAGGGCTATATGGTCTGTAATCCCTAAAATAGTTACTGTTTGGCTCTTTACAGAAAAAGTTTGTCAACCCCTAGTCTATGTGAGGAGTATGTGGGTATTCACTACATTATTTCTACATTTCTATAGGTTTGAAAATTTTCACAATAAAAAGTTGAACAAAAGTAAAGACATCAAGGGAGTTCCCTGGCAGTCCAGTGGTTAGGACTCTGTGCTTTCACTGCCGAGGGCACAGGTTTGATCCCTGGTTGGGGAACTAAGATCCCACAAGCTGTGCGACACAGCCAAAAAGAAAACCCCAAAACAAAAAACAAACAAAAAACAACAACTAAAGACATCAACCCCAACAAAAATAGTTTTTAAAAGCAGGACTTATATTTGAAAAAGATTTTCTATTCAAAAGGGTTAGTGGGGGCTTCCCTGGTGGTGCAGTGGTTGAGAGCTCCGCCTGCTGATGCAGGGGACATGGGTTCGTGCCCCAGTCTGGGAAGATCCCACATGCCGTGGAGCAGCTGGGCCCGTGAGCCATGGCCGCTCAGCCTGTGTGTCCGGAGTCTGTGCTCCGCAACGGGAGAGGCCACAGCAGTGAGAGGCCCGCGTACCGCAAAAAAAAAAGGGTTAGTGGGTTACGGAATTCCATGAATGAATGAAATTCATGATATAAAATATATTAATAATATCTAATGTTAACAGAAAGTAAGGAAACCTTAGCCATGGCTTTATTGCTGTTGTGTGTTAGTTATGCTCATGCCTTGCTTGAGCCTTGACAGCATATCTATGGGCTGACCTAGTGCCTAATGTTTCATTTAATAAATGGGAGTAACATTTCAATGACTATAATAAAAGGACAAATTTTCAAAGTATTTTCAGCAATTTAGAAACTAATATTTGAATTTAAGTCCACTCAATAAGCCATGTGAAAAATGTAAATACCACAGATCCTTAAACAGTAAGTTGTATTGTTATTATAAAAGAAAGTTTTCTAAAATATTACACATATTTTCACAGGACAATGAAAAGGAAAGAAATATATAGAGAAAATAGATCTTTAAATTGGACTTATGTCCATTTGTTTTCAAAAGAATGAGATACAGAAATATGAAAGCACTAAGTGAGAATGAGAATTATTCAGAAGAAGATTCAGGGCTGATTTGGGTGTGGCTTGCTATTTCCTTTATGATAAAGTCCCCAACAGGTGACTATTCTGAGTTCTTGTATCCATGTTTTATAGTTTTGTTTTGTTTTAATATTTCTTGCGTTGCTATCAGCCCTCACTTCTTCATGCCTAAGGAAAGTCCAGCTGTAACAAATCTTCCCTGCCCCTCTAATCTGCTACATTTAGTCTGCTATTAGCTCACTGATTTAAGATGCTCAGAAAATTTCCTCTGCTCTTATTTCCACATAATGTAACTTTGGTCCACAAGCCAGAAAAACGCTATGGACAAACTTTGGAGTGCATGTGCCATTACTACCTAGGCCTGTGTCGTCTACTACAGTAGCCACTAGCCACACGTGGCTACGGTGCAATTGAAATGCGGTTAGTTCAACAGAGGAACTGAATTTTTCATTTCATTTAAGTTAATTAATTTTGAAATTCAAATTTGAAAACTAGCACTTGATTCAGTTATTGGAAAACTTAAGTATGTTTCCAACAACTTGGGTGTCAAAACCTACTTTTTCAACTGTAAATTTTAGGAACTCTAAATACAGATTAAGAGGACCTCCCTGGTGGTCCAGTGGCTAAGACTCCGCGCTCCCAATGCAAGGGGCCTGGGTTTGATCCCTGGTCGGGGAACTAGAACCCACATGCCGCAACAAAAGATCCTGCATGCCGCAATGAAGATCTCGCAAGCCGCAACTAAGACTCAGCACAGCCAAATAAATAAATATTACCCAAAACATTTTAAGTATTTCCAGAAAAATATAGCATTCGAATTTGAGACGTGTGGTAAGTGTAAAATATTGTATGGATTTTGAAGACTTAGTGTGAAAAAAATTTTTTTAAATACCTCATTAATAATTTTTATAGTGATTACATGTTGCAACGTTAATACTTAAAATACTTAGTTAAATAAATATATTATGTTTCTTTTCACTATTTAAAATTGTGTCTAGGAGAAAATTTCAAGTTGCATATGTGGCTCACATTTTATTCCTGTTGGACAGCACTGACTTAATTCACTTTAAAAAAAAATTTCCTGATATTTAAAGAATTATTTTTATTTTTTGGCTGCGCTGGGTCTTTGTTGCTGCACACGGGCTTTCTCTAGTTGTGGTGAGCGGGGGCTACTCTTCGTTGCGGTACGCGGGCTTCTCATTGAGGTGGCTTCTCTTGCTGTGGAGCATGGGCTCTAGGCACGCGGGCTTCAGTAGTTGTGGCATGTGGGCTAGTAGTTGTGGCTTGCGGGCTCTAGAGCGCAGGCTCAGTAGTTGTGGTGCATGGCTTAGTTGCTCCGCAGCATGCGGGATCCTCCCTGACCAGGGCTCGAACTCCTGTCCCCTGCATTGGCAGGAGGATTCTTAACCACTGTGCCACCAGGGAAGTCCCAAATTTCCTGATTTTGAACTGTATTCTGAATAGAGAAATGATAGCTAAGTGACTGTTAAATAGGTGTGTAATATGACACTTACACGTACTAGCTACATGTACCACGTCTGATAAAGTTCAAAATGTTACAGGTGTTGGAAAGTGACCAACTCAAACCCTTTACCAAGGTCACAAAGCACGACCCTGAAGCTACCAGACCATCGGCTCTTTGGTGGTAAGGACTCTCTGTGTGGCTCTTCATCTGCCCCAAGACCCAGCGTGACTTACACACAATAGGTGCTCAAAGATATTTGTTGAATGGACATGTAATGCATTTTAATTTACTGTATCAGAGACATGGAGAAAAAAGAGAAAAAGTCATCGGTGTCAGCCTCAAATATAAAGTACTAGAAAAAGGAAATTTAATTATTATTACTGAAATTAGGAATGAAATTTTCCCATACAGGGAAATTTGGGGTAGAAGGAAATAACCAAGTAGGAAGTAAGCACTCTTGTCCCTAGATGCTTCAAGGGGCTGTTAATGTCACAATAGTGCTGCAGGTTCTGAAACAACATTCCTAATTAAACTACATATTGGAAAGATAAAATATGTTACTTAGCATCTGAATAGAATTTAGGAAGTTTAGGGAATAAAAATCACAGCAGCTGCCATCCATAGCATACCTATTTCCAGGGGGGGCGCACAGTTCAGAATAGTACTTGATTTTGGGCTCTGTCCCACTGGTCCGAATGGTGGCCACACCTCCATTAGCAAAGGTAAAGGTGATCATTTGACTGCTTTTACTAGTAGGGAGAACCTAGGAATTAATTTACACGTTATAAATTTAAGTAGTAACACCAGCTGTTCTTACCTAACTAACATTTTCCACTGAATAAGCAAGAGAGTAAATGCAAAACAAAGAAGAAAAGAACATTTTTGAGGAAATCAGAAAATGTACTCTGTATAAATGAAATAAATAATAATAATAAGGCAATTTGTGAAAATTAACTTTGTATATTACTTTTTACCTCCATGGTTCTATTACAGCTACTAAAGTTTTACTAAAATTGAAACACATCATTTTCACAAGAAATTGCTTTAAACCGATTAATAATGCATTACCAAAACCCCACAAAACACTAGGCTTATTTCACTTTCAAGGGCTTCTGATAGATGTATTCTTAGCTGATTGCTCTCCAAACTCCACTAAAATGACTGAAGCATTAAAATCAAAAAACACACAAGGGCAAAGAGGCAGCAGCAGTTGAGGGGGTTGCCAACTAATCGTGGCAGTCAGAAACCAGGTGGAGGGCAGAGGCGACCTGATGGAACACAGAAGAATGTCCTCGGAGCCCCTGTAGCAGGCAGATAAGAACCGAGTCAGCATGTTCTGCAGGGCCCTAGTAAAGCTCACTACCTACGGCACCTGGTACAGCAAAGGGCAGGCGTGAGACAAAGAAGCTATTAGATCCTCCCAAATCCCCACCTTCTGCCCACGTGGTCAACCAACCACCTCATCAGGAGACGGTTTAAATCTCTGGGGTAATTGAACCAGAAGGGCTCAGAAGCTGGGGACGCTGGGCACCATGGAGGGCAGGGCATGGAGAAAACTTAGAGTAAGTCAGAGTCTGCACACTGAATGCTCAAACCCCTCCTCCCAGGTCCGCAGCACCTTTCCACCACTTCTGGGGCCTCAGCATCCCAGTTTATTACCCTCAGGCAGGAGATTAGGGTGAGAGTGAGGCGTCCCCAGGAGACCTTGAGGGAAATAAAGACAATACAGAGGAAACAAGACCTACATTTTAAAAAAGCTATAATTAATATCCTTAAGAGAGGTAAGATATAATACACATGAAACAAGAATAAGATGTTACTTTCAATAAATTAGAGAAAAAGAGCTGAAATGTTCAAAGAAGCACTGAAAGTTAATGTTGAGGTAATCTCCCCAAAAGTAGGAAAGAAGGATATAGATGGACAGTGGGAAAAAAGAAACACGGAAAGTAGAACATCACTCCAGGAGAGTCAGCATCTAAGAACCTGTCAAGAAGGACTTGTCAAGAAGGTGAGAACAGAAAATGCAAGGGAAGAGGTTACTTGAAAAACAACCATCCAGCGTCCTTCTTTGATAAAAATCAAGAGAATTTCTCAGAACTGAAAGAAATGACTCCGTAGATCAACAAAGACCAACCAAGTATCCAGAAAAATGAATGAAAAGAGGCCCATACTAAAAGCATATCACTGAAATTGTAGAACCCCAAGTTTAGCGGAAAGTTCCTAACGTCTTCCCATGGAGAAAAAAACAAATGGCACGGAAAGGACTGAATGAGTATGGTGTTCTCATCCCTGAATGCAGCACACAGCAGGTCCCAACTATTTCCTGAGTGAATGAATGATGGATGCTCAACGGCTTTACAAATACAGAGCAATGCTTTCCAAACTGTGAGTTAATAAAGCATGAGGGTAGAGTAAGACATTTTCAGACCTAAACACCTCCAAAAATTTACCTGTCATTCATTTCTTCTTAGGAAGCTACTAGAGGATGTGATTTAGGAAGATAAATATAAAAAGAGGAAATCATGGGGTCCAGGAGCAAGGGACCCACCCCCAGAGAGTGGTGAAAGGGCATTCCCAGGATGACAGCTGGGCGTTCAACCCAGAGAGCAGAAGGCTCTCCCCAGAGGAAGGGACCAGGAGAGAGGCCATTGGAAACAAGATGGAACCAATAGTCCAGGTCAAAAACCCTACTGAGAGGTATTTGAAGGATGTGGGAAGAACTGGTGAGGCTTACATAGAAATCCATGCAAATGAAAGAACAAAGCAGCTATCAATGAAAGGAAAAGTAATTCTTTATACAAATTAAGGGGAACCTAATCATAGTACACTACTTAACTAAGCAAAAAAAAATAGTTACCAGTCATAATAATACAAGCATGGAATCTGATGTCACCAAGAGTTGTGGTATAAATGTACTGTAAGGACAGGGGAGAAGAGTCGTGAATGCTGGAAGTGTAAGAACTAAATCCCTATCTCCATAATAGAAAATTAATAAAGTCTAACACTGATAAGTCATGGTATTACCACATGAGCACACTGTTTAGAAATCTGGTGGTAAATACCAGGAGAAACAACTAAGAGGGAAGGTGGTTGTCTTGGCACATGGAAATGAGATGGCAGGAGTTGGAACTGCCATGTCTAATCATAACCCTTTTAATACTATTTGCCTTTAAAAACATATTGTGTGCAGATGTAAATTAAAAAATATAACAAGGTGAGTATCAAAGCAAATGGGAGACTGGGATTGAAATATATACACTAATATGTATAAAAGGTATAACTAATAAGAACCTGCTGTATAAAAAAATAAATAAAATTCAAAAATTCAAAAAAAAAAGGCAAATGTCCAATATCTCATAAGGATATTCTTACTGTCCTTCCTCTACCCCCCTGCCATAGTTAGCAATACTCTTCTGCCACATTTGAGCCTTCTTTTGACTCCACTGGGGGAATCTACATGGTAGGAAGAATGCAAACTCATGCTTTACAGCGAACAACTCCTATATATTCAGAGAACAGGGTAAAACTAAGCAGGAAGCAAGCAGTGGTTCTCAAAGTTGGACCAGTAGCATTAGCATCAGCAGGGAACTTATTAGAAAGACAAATAAGGGGTGGGCTGCAGGACTCAGTGTTTTAACCTGGCCACCAGGTGATTCTGATGCTTTTTCAAGTTCAACTGCTGAAAGAGAGGAAAAGCTGCGTTTGGAATCAGAAGACCCAGATTCTATCCCTAGCATCACCAATTAGCTGTGTGACCACAGGCAGGTCTTACACTTCTGAGTACAGTCGTCCCTCGGTACCCGTGGAGGTTTGGTTCCATGAGCCCCCCACAGATACCAGAATTCATGGATGCTCAAGTCCATTAAATAGTGTAGTACAATCGACCCTCGGTATCCGCGGATGTGAAACCCTCAGATGATGAGGGACGACTGTATCGATTTCCTGCTGTATTAAATGACAGCATTGGCTTAGATGACTAGCGAGAACCCCTTCAGTTTCAGCTCATGATTTTTAACTCTCTGTATATTTTGATAGCTTATTTATAATAATGCCTAAAATCAGCTTCAATTAATTATATGATTAAGTTGAGCTATTCAAAGTATAGTCAAAAAGTAAATAGAGACGAGGTTAATTGATAAAAGACATTACTTACAGCTTTTTTATCAGGTTGGCTATCATCATAGCCAGTTGTAAGGTCCCTAATACCAGAAATTTCAAATTTGCCACAAGTTTTTGGATAATTATTCTTCCCATCGTAGTTTCTAAGGTTTTCAAATAATTTTTTAATAGTGCCTTGATCGTGGCAGATAAAATACGAAGCTTTGGTGATATGGTAGCCATACCTATCAATACAAACACAATTACACGCAAAATGAGGAACAAATAATTCTGCACAGGGTACACTGAACATGTATCAACCAGTATATTCTAAAACAAATAACCCCGACTAATTTCAAAGGAATAATTCAGCATTAAAAAAGAGGTTCAGGGCTTCCCTGGTGGCACAGTGGTTGAGAGTCCGCCTGCCGACGCAGGGGACATGGGTTCGTGCCCCGGTCTGGGAGGATCCCACATGCCGCGGAGCGGCTGGGCCCGTGAGCCATGGCCACTGAGCCTGCGCGTCTGGAGCCTGTGCTCTGCAATGGGAGAGGCCACAACAGTGAGAGGTCCATGTACCCCCTGCCAAAAAAAAAAAAAGAGGTCCAATTTTATAAAAGAGGTCCAACAATCTACCCCAGGGATCGCTGAACTGCTCTGTGGCCCTCAGCCTGTATTTCTAAGTAAAAGTTTCTCTATTGGAACGTAGCCATGCCATGCCCATTACCTTATGTATTGTGTCTGGCTGCTTTTGCACTACAAAGACACTAGTGAATAATTGCTTTAAAGACTAAACATGTTTTGTGAACACATGTGTCTCTTTTGACATTGGATACTTAAAAATCACATTCTTCCCTTAGCCATTTCTGCAACTAATGTTCTCATTTGTTAAGAATCAATGTCATCATGAATGGTAACTACTATTAAGTAGTTAAATATCAAAAGGAAAAGGTGATCCCTTATTTAGTTTTTATAGGCAATAGAATTCATAGCCAAAGTAAGGACACCAGAAAGAATATTAGTATCTCATGCATAAGAACGAAGTAAAACATTAAAAAATATTACTACATGTGGGGATAACATGTAAACTGTATTTGTTGCGATCATTTCACAATATAGATATACATTGGATCATTGTGTTGCACAACTGAAATGAAAAAAACATTACTTCAATTTAACAGTCAATAGAAACTTACTCAACATAGATGGCCTTTAGCTGCTGAGACAAAGACAAATTCTTGGTTGCTAGAAAGCTGGCCAACTCTGCACTTATGACGGCGGCACTGACTCCATCTTTGTCCAGAACGAAAGGGCAGCACATATACCCTGCAGAAACACGTGTCATACACACACCCTGAGGAGTAGGTCCCTTTACACACTGTGCGAGCACACATCTATATGCTCCCGGTCTACTGCATAAGAGGTTGTCAGTATGTAAATGCTTCTCATTCATCACCATTACATTTAAGAATCTAGGCCAGCGCCTAGCACATAGCAGGCCTTCAAGAAGTATTTGCTGAGGTACAAACTACTATATATAAAATAACTAAGATACAAGGATGTATTGGACAACGCAGGGAGTGTAGCCGATACTTTATAACAACTATAACTGGAGTATAATCTATAGAAACATTGAATCACTATGTTGTACACATGAAATTAATATAATATTGTAATTCAACTATGCTTTAATTTCAAAAAAGAAAAGAAAAAAAGAAAAAGCATTTGTTGAATAACCTGTAAGGAGAGTCTCCCTCCTAGACAAACTGTACTCATTTTCCAGGTGTAGACCAAATCCCTCTGGCTGAAACACAAAACTGCTTCCAATTGTTCTAGTCAATGCTTATTTTGTCTTCTCTGAATCCCCAGTTATATGATTTATCTTGACACCTAGTCTATACTCTTTTGTGTGGTTTCTAACTAGATCTATATAAACTGCTGTAGGCTAAGGTCAGTGTCATCCATTTCTTTCAGAGTCAGTGTGCAAGTGATATGCAATAAATATTTGATAAACAAATATAAGAAAATCTTTTTTTTTTTTTAAATAAAAAGCTATAGTCAGGCCAGGATTGCAGTTCTGAGAGCATAAGAGCAAAAGTTGAGCTCTTACACTTCATTCAATGAATTAGTTCAATGATGAGCCTGTGTCTATGTTGCAGGGAATGTATGAACTAGAAGAGTATGTATTAGATAATAAGCATGATGTACAACAACTTTTATTAAACAAAGAGCTAAAACATCCCCAGCCCAAACATTTGCATTTCACGTTTCTATTGCTAGCCCTCCTCTTTTGCTCATTGATAGTGATCATTTAAGACAAGTGTTTTTCCATCAGCCTGGCTGGTTCTTTCAGGTGACAGTCACTCTGATGAAAGTCCCACAACCATGCCTTCTCCTTTCTTCTGGACAGATCTCTGCAGAGCACTCTATGAGGGGGAGTGAACTATATTTGGCCTGTATATCAATACCATAGGGAGGAAATATCGTAACTCCCCAAACAGGAGGATTCTGAAGCTACTACAGCCGTGTACAGAACATCACTGTTCACAATTATCTGGGCAAAGGATTCACTTCCTGACATGAATGGCTTGGTTATTTGTGAGATATTCTTTTCAGCTAAAAAAATCTGTGATGCCAACTTTGGGGTAGGACAGTTCAGCATTTGCCGAGCATCACAGAAGAAAAACAAACTGTGTGTTCCTGTTTCACAGTTAATCTTTTGAACCCAAATCCAAATCCACATCTTTGCCCATTTATTTGCATTCTATAAATTAACTGATCCCAGGATCATCATGATCAACTCTTACCAATAGCTTCTTCAAAAGCAAATAAGACATTTTTCCCCTGGTCTATTAGCTGTTTGGCTCGGTTTCCCATCCACTTAAAGCCAGTTAATGTTTCCTAAAAGGATAATCCAAGAGAGAAAGAAATGCCTTAGACCTTCTACAGAGCAAAAGAAAGGGAAAAGAGCAACTCTCACAAACACCTTACCTCGAAGTGAAAGCCCTCCTTTAAGGCAATGGCCTGCAGGATTTTGGAGGAGACGGTGCTGGACAACATATATGTGTCTTTGAGGGCGCTGTGATCTTGGTTCTTTTCTTTCCAAGAAGTAAAGAGCCACCAGCCCAAGAGGGCCCCCAGCTCGTTGCCTGAAAACACTTTCCATTCACCACTGTAAGAAAAAACAACCTAGGTACAGCAGTGATCTCAAGAGAGATCACTTAATTGTAAGTAACAATTAAGGACAGAACAATTAAGCCAAACAAGGTTCAAAGTAGCCTCTGCAGGACTGTTCTTATTATTCTTGTTTAAATAATAGGCCAGAAGCGTGACTGCCACTCCACAAACATACGAGCAGCTACCGTGTCTCAGCCTGTTCGCCTAGACAAACATCCTGTCTTTGAAGAGCGTACAAAATAAGTACATCAGCGATGACACACAAATGCTTTTATCTCAGTCTTTGGCAAAGGCTTTGGTTTTAAACATAACAGAAACATGCTAGCAAGATGCCCCCTAAGGACTTCCCTGGTGTTGCAGTGGTTAAGAATCCACCTGCCAATGCAGGGGACATAGGTTCGAGCCCTGGTCTGGGACGATACCACATGCTGCGGAGCAACTAAGCCTGTGCACCACAACTACTGAGCCTGTGCTCCACAACAAGAGAAGCCACTGCAATGAGAAGACCACGCACTGCAACAAAGAGTAGCCCCTGCTCTCAGCAACTAGAGAAAGGCCCGTGCGCAGCAACGAAGACCCAATGCAGCCAAAAATAAATAAATAAATATATTTTTTTAAAAAAAGATCCCCCCCAAGTATAATAGTTTGCATATCTCAATTTTCCGCTCAGCTTTGCTGATTCTGAGAGAGAGAGACTGCTTAGCATTCCTTAAGATCCAGCGCAGTATTCACACAGTCAGGACACCAGAGAACAGGCTTGCAGCTTATGCTCCTGTCTGTAGGTGGCTACAAGTACACCTCACATTTCAGCATGTAGCACCTTAGCTTAAATTTCTAAAACCTGATATAGAATTGAATCTGCTTTGTTATAATCGAAAATCCTAACCCTTTGACAGCACCCCACCGTCTCCCAAACATCACATAGGCTGTTTGACACCCAAAACTGCTTTCACTTTCCCCCCCCTTACCTACCACTGCTCTATACAAACGCTACAGTCGCACTTGTCTTAAGCATTGTCAGCGCCCCACAGGCATCTTTCCTGGTCTGTTCAACCTGAATTCAACATTGCTTTGAAGGTCCAACTCCTCATCAAACCTTTTACCAAACGCTGAACTGTAAAGCCAGAGATCAAGTACTTTGCCCTCATTAGGCACTGAGTCATTAATTATAATAAAAGCAATGATAAAATGGGGGACGATAACAAATAGTAATTTCAATTCCAAATACATACTGGGCTGGTTTACTCTGCAATGTGCTTGCTGATTGTGTGGCCCCCGAATCAGTACTTGCTACATGTTAAAGGATCTGACTGAGGTTAAGTGAGATGATCGTTTGCAAAATAAATGGGAAATATTTCCAAATAGGTCTGGTCTCTCCAGAAACATTTTACTGCCAAAGATGTCACCTTTTATATTTTCCATTATGTAGGTAATTACAATTAATTGTACCTGTCTTGCTTTTCTGCCACAGCAAGTCTGTCAGCATCTGGGTCGTTTGCTAAAACAATTTTGGCCGTGGTTTTGTCAGCCAAAGCAAAAGACAAAGTCTGAAAAAGAATAAGAGAAAAGATCATTACAATCAAGAATTGAGCACAGGGCTTCTCTGGTGGTGCAGTGGTTAAGAATCCGCCTGCCAATGCAGGGGACACGGGTTCAAGCCCTGGTCCGGGAAGATCCCATATGCCGCAGAGCAACTAAGCCTGTGTGCCACAACTACTGAGCCTGCGTGCCACAACTACTGAGCCCTTGTGCAACAACTACTGAAGCCCGCGTGCCTAGAGCCTGTGCTCTGCACCAAGAGAAGCCACCGCAATGAGAAGCCCACGTACCACAACCAAGAGCAGCCCCCGCTCACCACAACTAGAGAAAGCCCACGCGCAGCAATGAAGACCCAACACAGCCAAATAAATAAATAAATAAAATTTTTTAAAAAATGCTTAAAAAAAAAGAAAAAAGAATTGAGCACATTTCAGTCTTTAAAAATGTTCAGTTCTTTAAGAACTAAAAGAGGTCTTTCCCCAAACCGAGGCTGAATTTTATTTCTGGAGCTGTTCTTGGCTGGTCACATATTACTTTTTGAGTCAAAGGTCAGATAATGAGAGCATCAACACATGACCCACATGCGCCCATGGGATTCGCCCCACATCTGATAGTGTGTGTGGCTGGACTGGTATTTCCAGGCCTGGGCCTGTGGTCAACCTAACAGACAAACCAGAATAAACCGACTCTCTGGATATCACTGTTAACCGAGCCTTTAAAAAGACTAAAAGGAACCATAATTTAAATGGCACTTCTTTGTATCAGAAAAATATCAGTTGAGGAATAAAAATCATGTGATAAATCTCCATTCTATTACTGTTTCTTTCTGGCATTAAGAAGAACAGTAAATTAACTTAAAATTAAATTGATTAAATTGAATGTAAAGTATTGTTTTAAGTTTGTGAGCAATTTCAGCTCTCACATCCTGATGCTAAGACATCTGATTTGAAAGTTCCTTTAAGAAATGGATGACTGGGCTTCCCTGGTGGCGCAGTGGTTAAGAATCCACCTGCCAATGCAGGGGACACAGGTTCGAGCCCTGATCTGGGAACATCACACATGCTGTGGAGCAACTAAGCCCATGCGCCACAACTACTGAGCCTGTGCTCTAGAGCCCACGAGCCACAACTACTGAGCCCATGTGCCTGGAGCCTGTGCTCTGCAACACGAGAAGCCACCGCAATGAGAAGCCCGTGCACCGCAATGAAGAGTAGCCCCCGCTCGCCGCAACTAGAGAAAGCCCTCGCGCAGCAATGAAAACCCACTGCAGCCAAAAATAAAATTAAAAAAAAAAAAAGAATTTAAGAAATGGATGACTAATAAATATAAATATTTCCAATGATGAAATTACTTTTTTGCTCAGCACAATGAAAATGCATAAAAACATTTTACTCAAGAGTAATAGTTTTGAACTATATTCAAGGTAAATTTTATAATTAAAAAAAAATCAGGTTACCAAGACACCTTTACCCTCTTCAGGATTTGGGTATCTCACTGTTGGGAACTCAGGATCGGGATCCTTCTGTTCGGGAACAGCCTCGGGAGGAACAAAGTCAAAAGCCTTGAAAGCCGACTGCACGAAGCTGTGACCCACGCCATGGACGGAGGTGTGCACAAACTTCACCTTGGTCTCCCTGTTCACAGCCCTGGAATCAGACACATGGAGAATGACAAAATATACAAATATGGCTCTCAAAACTGGAAGGACTGCAAAATATCAAGGAACCAGATTCCCAAGAATTTAAGGTATCAAAGTAATAAGAATGTATAAGACAACTGAGTATCTTTCTAATTCCATTAAAAAAGGAAAACTTATTCACTTTCTTTCAAACATACACCCTCCCCCAACACATTCAAGTTTTAAATTTTACTCTGTAGTTATTTTCCACAAATCTGCTTACTTTTGGATTTTATTTCATGCTGCAGCTTTCACAGCTGGCCCAGTGGCAGTACCCACCCATGGCAGTGCCAGTAAATACTCTTTATTAGCTTCACACGTTTCAAAGTGTCCCTTTTAACACAATGTGATGGAACATCCCATACATGGATGCATAAAAAATAAAACATTTTCTTTGTCAAGTAACAATCCTGTTTGGTAGAGTACCCTGATCTAGAGACTGTAGAATAAAAATGTACATCAAAATTCACAGCAGATTTCTCTCCGGACCCCAAGCTTGGGGAGAGAGAATCTTTAAGAAAGCATCTCTTGTGATCCAGGCTGCGTGGAAGTGAACATCCACCACCTTGGGAGGGACACAAAACTCCACCTAGATGTTTCTCCCCCATCACCCCTAAAGGACAAAAGCCTTAATCTGTAGGGGAAAGGGCAGCAACACCATAGCCATAGGAGGTGCTGGACAAGGATGCATGATTTATAACCAATCTGAAGATGAATAAAATATTAACATACCTTAAAAAAAAAGAAAAAAATTAACAGCAGCAGTTATAGAAAGGTAAGCACAAGATGTTAAAAAATTCCAATGATCTGACTGTTAGATTCTTAGGTTACCGTCCACTTCCTTTGGCAATGAATAAATGAACAAGGTCTTCCTTAAGACAGTAGTAGTTTAAAACAAACATACCCTTGAAAATAAAATGCATCTAAAAAAATAAATATGCAAGATCAGTAAGAACAAATCTGGAAAAACACTCTTAGATATTAAAGTGAATTATAAAGCTATCACAATTAGAACAGTTTAGGCCTACATATATAAAGGCAGAATAAAGGAACAGAATAGAGTCCAGAAGTTGATCCAATTTGAAACGGGAAATATATACGAGAAGCAGTAAGGCTTAGTGGTTAACATGATTTAGAGACAGACTCTAAATTTAAATCTTGGAGCTCTGCCACTTATAAGCTGTGTGACTATTGGTTATTTTCTTAACCTCTCTGTGTCACAGTTTTCTCATCTATAAGATGGCAATACACCAGAACCTACCATCAGCATTACCGTGATGATTAAAATGAGGTTAAATTAATTAGTACAAGTGAAGGGACTGTAGCAGTTATCTGATACATAATAAGCATTCATATATCATGTTAGAAATTGTTAGATTAAAGGTGATATTTCCAATCAGTCAAAGAAAAAGAGATTCTTTAGTTTAATATGTTGTTACAATTGCAACTTTTTAGAAAGAACCTAATCTGCTTTCCTACTTTATGCTTCATACAAAATTAAAAGTCACCAACAACTCAAAAGATTTAAACATTGCAAAATGTAAACATGAAAGCCAACGCAAAACAAGAGTTGTGCTTTTTTTAAAAAATAATCTTGGTATAATGAAATCTATCTATAGTGACACAAAACCCAGGAATCAGAAATTGAAAGTTTCAGTGAAAAAGTCCAAAGGTAACAACAGAAGGGAAAACAATATTTGAAATAAATGAAGTCTAGTTTTCTGTACAAGCAACGAGGTTTTACAAATGCAAGAGGAACAAATACATAGAAAAATATAGGTTAAATAAATATTAAAAATATTCATAATTAAAGAATGCAAATAAAGTTAGGTATTACTTTCATGCAGCAAATTGGGAAAGAGGAGAAATTTAATACTTGGTATAGGTAAGAATGTGTGGATCATACACTATTATCATATACTGTTGGTGGGAATCTCAGCTAGTGTAACGTTTCTGGAGAGCAATTTGTTAACCGTTATCAACTTTGTAAATGCATATATAATTCTGATGCCTGCAATGTATCTTAAGAATACACTTGTGCACACACACACACACACACACAAATATATGCATATATATGTATATACACATATACATATACATGAATCTACAACAGAGGTTAGCAGCCGTGGCCTGTGGGCCAGCCACCTACTTTTGTAAATAACATTTTTTGGAACACAGCTATGTTTGCATGTGTTCATTTCTGTATGATCTATGGCTGCTTTCCTACAACAGCAGAGTTGGGTAGTTGTAACACAGTGGCTCACAAAGCACAAAATATTCGCTATCTGTCTTTCTAAGAAAAGCTGCCAGCCCCTCATCTATAGCCTCTAAAGTCAGATGCAGTTACAGTATATGTACCAACTGAGAAGAAAATTTAATGAAAACAGAATTTGGCTAAATCCATTTACCTGTGAAAACAGTATTTTTTAAGGTCTTCAAAGTAGTCCTTATTGATGGAAGCACTTGGGTCATGAAAGAGTGGACTGCCATTGATTACAGAATCGTCCCAAGCTTGAGGCCATGGCTCTAGATTTTCTTCAATAGCCTGGGAAATCCCTTTATCATGAGGAGAGATGATCTGAGCCCCGTTATCCCAGTAGACCTGGAGAATGCAGGAACGTATCCAGATGGTTTACAGTTCATCCATTCCCCATGCTCCCAAGCCATAAAGGCATAGGATTCATATAGAAGGACGTAAGCGTGGAGAGAAAAATAAAAATACCTTGTAACCATTATCCTGCTTTGGATTGTGAGAGGCAGTTATCATGATTCCAGCACAAAGTTTCAAATGTGATACTGTGTAGGGCTGTAATACAGTAGGAAAGGAGGACAGTGTTAAATAAAAAATTAGGTATACTTAAAAGGTCTATCATATATTGTACCGTGTTCCCTTTTAATAAACATCATATATAAACATCATATTGTGTCATACAATATTTTTGTGCCACATCCAAGCAGTGCGCTCTGACCACCTTTAGAACCAACTCCTGCTCAAAATTCAAATAAGAAAGGTGAGTATTTTCCTAGGTGTCGTCTTATTCTGTCTTCTCCTTGGCAGAACTAGGAAACTCTCCAAACAATATGATGGTCTGATTCTCCACTGCACATTCTTGTAAGCCTTCTGCTTGGGACAGCAGCTTATGGATTCAGTTTATTCCCTCCAACTGCTTCCTCTGCTCTTCTTCCCCTGATTGGCTTTTAAGGAAAAGGTTGAGGAAAATGTGGGAGAAATGGAGAGAGCTCTCACAGCTGGTCATTTATCTCCCACTCCAGGCCTGATTATCCCTCTCTTGCATCTCTACTTAGCTCCCATCTTTACAAGACTACTTCCCCAAATGGGGAGAGGGTAGGCTTATGCTCCCCGTGGCTGCACATGAGATTTACTCTACACAGGCATCCTGAGATTCTACCTGCCTGTCCGCTTCCGCCCTCCCACCAAGAATCACTGTGGTCACTTGTCCCCCTAGGAGTTATCTCACATTCCCCAGGTTTCCTGGAGCAAAGAAAAAGGGAGAATCACTCCACTATGTGGGCAAATGACCATGAGACACTCATTTAATTCATGTCTGATATAAAAGTAATAGCTATCAACACTTATATAGTACAGAAGACCAATGATGCTTGAACACATTGCAATTTTTCCATCAAACAATAAAACTTGAACCACATCTGGATGTGACATTGAGTGCCTACTGGGATATTTACAATCTAGGAGGTGTTGCACCTACCTGTCAGTGCACTAGAGACAGTAAACACAAAGCTAGTGGAGCTTACTTTTTTATTTACACACTCTCATTTCTACTTGATGGAACTAAGTGCATTCAAACCATGTTTTTGGTTTAGTATCTAAAAACATTTATGCTTAGCATCTGGCTCCACTCTTTTTTTTTTTTTTTACGGTACGCGAGCCTCTCACTGTTGTGGCCTCTCCCGTTGCGGAGCACAGGCTCCGGACGCGCAGGTTCAGCGACCATGGCTCACGGGCCCAGCCACTCCGCGGCATGTGGGATCTTCCCAGACCGGGGCACGAACCCGTGTCCCCTGCATCGGCAGGCAGACTCTCAACCACTGCGCCACCAGGGAAGCCCCTGGCTCCACTCTTAACAGTTCTATCTACTTAAAAGCAACAGCTGTCACAGTCCCTATTGTCCTTTTCTTTAGATTCTGCTACAATAAGAATTTGATAAAAATCTTACTAAAACATGGCAAGTATGCTTCTTATACTGGCCATGAATAGGATTTAGAATGAAACATTTATATAAAAAGTTGGCGCACCAACTTGTCAAAAATTTTCATGATAAGACATGGTTTGAGTTGAATTCAGATTTAGACCCAAGAAGTTTCCTAACTGTGATAGCTGGGAAAAAAGAATACAAACCAAATTAAAAAGCAAACAGACAAACAAACAAAAGACATTTTGCTAACTAGCTAAAATATCCTCCGAATGCAAGTAAAAGAAAAATTGCATTAAAAAAATCAATTTGGGGCTTCCCTGGTGGCGCAGTGGTTGAGAGTCCACCTGCCGATGCAGGGGACACAGGTCCCGGTGCGGGAGGATCCTACATGCTGCGGAGCGGCTGGGCCCGTGAGCCACGGCCGCTGGGCCTGCGCGTCCGGAGCCTGTGCTCCGCAACAGGAGAGGCCACAACAGTGAGAGGCCTGCGTACCGCAAGAAAAAAAAAATCAATTTGGATGAATCAAAAGTTGAATACCAGAGAATATTACTAGGATGTGGGAGGAACAGTCCTGGAGAGGAGGGAGAATTCCTGATAAAAGGCAAGGAGCCCTTCTATCTTTCAAACACCTGAATCCCAAGAGCACTGAAGACTGTAAAACTCGGCCATGTCCCATCTCTGATTCCATGACAGGAAATTACAAGAGGAAAGAGTTACTTACCACAAAGGGGGTTGGGGTTATATCAGAAAAGAGGTACACAGGAATCCCCTGGCTGATAAACGTAGTGGCAGCAAGTCGGGCGAATCTGGAAATGCAGAGTGATGGGGGAGAAAAGGAAAGTAGAGCCGTCAGGACCGTGGGTGACAATAAAGAAGGAAATGAAGGCCCAACCATTTCTTTAGGCTGAGAACGGCAGCCAGGTCGAAGAAAACGTTTATTTTACTTCTGCTGGCAGAGAACATTAAGGCTGGAGGAACCTTCGGAGTCATCTCACTCCACCCCTTTGTTTTACAGAAATGGGACTAAAGCCAAGAAAGGACATATGACTTGTCTCATGTCCACGAGCCACTCAGCGGCTGACCCAGGCCTGCACCCGAGTCTCTCAGCTCTCTTCCCTCTCAGGGGGTCTCAGCGGAGGCCGATGCTGCCCCCACGGGACATTTGAATCGTCTGGAGACATTTTTGGTTGTCATCAGGGTAGAGCGCTAGTGGCAGCTAGTGGACGGAGGCCAGGGATGCTGTAAATCATCCCACAATGCACAGGGCAGTGCCCACAACAGAGAGTTATCTGGCCCAGTACCAAGTCACTTGGCAAGAGAAACCTGAGTCTAAAGCTGTCACTATCCAGTATATGCCATGAAGACTCGTATTTGATTCGATGTTGTCCTCTACAAAACATACGGCACATTGGCATGTGTGTGTATGTGATATATGTGTAACACATATATGCATCTGACATGTATATGACATATACACATCTTGGCTCCATTCAGCCCTTAGAAGAAGACTTAAATCTTTGATACTTTGACATATTTCTCAACTTCCACAGCACCTGACTTAGGGCAGGACATAGAACATGGCACTGGGTCTTTCTTCATGCATGGACTAAAGTACTTCATCACAACAATTGAGCAATTTACTACCAAAGAACACCACCACACTATTACAGGATTAAACAAACAAAATATTTGATCATTCTCCCAAACAGTTCTTGAGCACTAACCTCATGGAACACTATTTCGGGAGCTGGCTGGGGCAAAAAGAGCTATTTAACAACTCAAGCGTCAAAATTCCTAGGATCAAGAGTAATACGAAAATGATTTTGACAATTAAAAAAAATACCTCTACATAGGGGAAAGTCATAAAAATAACAAAATTTAGCAAAAACAACTTAACTAAAAATCTGAATTAAATCCACATTGTATTCACTGGAAGGTACTGAGTCACTTTTACCCTCATGAAATGTGTAGCATGTGTTCAGGCTGACTTTAAAGGCGCTTTCTTAAAGCTGGCAAAGGAGACACTCAACATACCTACGATATATACATGATATATATGAATTAAGTTACAAATGTGCACGAAAAAAGATTCAGTGTGTTCTTTGCATATACTTAACAGTTATTGCTTATGTTTCCCACCAGATATTTAAAACTGTAAGATTAAAGAACTAATCAACATTTCCTTAGGTAAAATTCTGAGACTGCAATAGTTTCCGACTCTTTAAGAAAATGTCAGGCTTCCCTGGTGGCGCAGTGGTTAAGAATCTGCCTGTCAATGCAGGGGACACAGGTTCGAGCCCTGGTCCGGGAAGATCCCACAAGCCACAGAGCAACTAAGCCCGTGCGCCACAACTACTGAGCCTGTGCTCTAGGGCCCGCGAGCCACACAACTACTGAGCCTGTGCTCTAGAGTCCGTGAGCCACAACTACGGAAGCCCACGTGCCTAGAGCCCATGCTCCGCAACAAGAGAAGCCACCGCAACGAGAAACCCACACACCGCAACGAAGAGTAGCCCCCGCTCGCCACAACTAGAGAAAGTCTGTGCACAGCAACGAAGACCCACTGCAGCCAAAAATAAATAAAATAAATAAGTAAATTAAAAAAAAAAAGAAAATGTCCATTTCCTCATCATGAGTGTTTTACTATATACTGGTTAGTAATTGTTACAACCTGTAAATATCTTGCTTGCTGTAGGTGACAGACAGCGACCCTGAGCTCCACTCCATCCCATTCTATCAAACTCTGAGACTTGAACCATAAACAAACAGAATCAGTAACATCGGTCACTTTAAGGAACTGATATGGCCCCAAGGCCAGAGCAAGAAACAGCTGCACCTTAATTGACAATGTTAACATATATGAAAGATGTGTCAACCTGAAGCAGGGTAGTCAGCCTAAGGAGAAGAAATCTGAGAAGCTAAACAGGCAGTTAGCCACATATATGCACTGTGCATGCTTTGACCGGAGGGTCTGACCTGCTGGTAAAGCACTTATGATGTAATTCTCACTGTAAATTCACTAACTGAAATTGACAAACTGATATTCTGAGGTTTATTCTACACTACTCTCTTGTGAATGTAGTTCATAAGCATCAGTCCTTGAAAGATACAGCTTCTCTCTTGCTTTATTGACAAAAATCACATCTTTGAGCCTGCAGCTGAAGACCCAATATTTTATATCACCCTGAGTTCAACCTAGGAGCTGATGTCATCTGGTATTTTGCCCTGGCCATGCTCCCTTCCTCACAGCCACACATTTGTTCCCATTAATGTTTCTCTCTTAGACTAGAAGCTACTGAGAAGCAAAGATTAGGACTCTATGAATTCATCCAGCATTGTAAAGTTATGAGACTTTTCATTAATATTAAACATTGGTATGTTCTTCCAATCTAAGAAGCTACTAATACTTATATTCTGGAAATATTAAAAAAATTCAACATAATAGAGGAAGTGTTCAAGTAAAAAAGAGGGTCATATAATGTGATTAAGAGCAGTGATTGGCAAACTCCAGCCCATTTTGTAAATAAAATTCTACTGGAACACTGCCATGCCCATTCAGTCATGAATTGTTCATGGCTGTTTTTATGCTACATGGCAGAGTTGAATGGTTGTGACAGAGACTGTGCAGCCCACAGTGTATAAGATATTTACTATTTGCCCTTTAGAGAAACAGTTTGCTAACCCCTGGTGTCAGCCTCTTTATGTTTAAATTGTGTTGCCTTCTCTCACTTTATGATATTAGAGCAAAGAGATAAAAGTACATACTTTACAGGTTTGGTGAGGGCTAAATGAGTGAATACCTAGGTGCCTAACTCACATCCACCACACAACCACCACCACCACCACCTCCCCCACCACCACAACCATCACCACCACCTCCTCCCCCACCACCTCCTCCACCACATCACCACCACCTCCTCCACCACCACCACCACCACCACCACCACCATCCCCACCATCACCATCATCACCTGCCTACAGCTACATAAGACAGTCTCATTGGTCTGGGAATGTTACAAGAATGCAGCTTGCAGTGGGCATTTAGGAATGGGAAGGAGCTCATGAGGCTTATAAATAGCGGAAGAAAAAAATTTACATAAAAGGAAGAAAGTGAGAGGGAGAAATAATATTGCCAGTTAAAACAATTACCTCAGATAGGAGTAAGTTCTACATTGTCTAAATAATTTTATCTTCTTAACCCAAACATAAAGCCAGAATTCTTAAAAGTTACAAAAGAATCTACCCATCAGTTTCATAGTTAAGCAATGTAGCTGAAAAACATATTTAAAGTCAACATATTGAAATGGTGATTACACCTAAAACTACAAAATACACTACAAAAAAATAGTTTCCGAAATACCTTTACATACCTTCTGCTGCTGCCTCCACTTGCCGGATGGGCTCGAGCATCATAGCTGATCACAACACCTCTTTGCTTAAGGTCACTGAATTGCTTTTCCAGGTATCTACAAAATCCCTAAAAAATACCCCATGGATTCAAAGAGTACACTATATGTTTTAACACACACACTATATATATATTACATATATACTGAACAATAGGAAAATAACAGCTCTATTTATTTTCTATCTGTATGTATCAGGTAATGTGTTGCACACTTAGTATTTATTATCACTAATCCCAGATCAGCTTGGCCAAGAAACCTCATTTTACAGATGGAAAAGCTAGAACTCAGAGAGGCTCGGTGACTTGCCCAGTTTCAGACACACGAATAGCAGAGCCTAGATTTGTGCCTCGGTCTGGTTAGAGGTGGTTCAGTGCTGGGTTAAAAGCACACAGACTCTGTGGGCTTGTACTCTACCCCACCTACAAGCAAATGACACGTTCCTTAATCTCTCAGTGCCTCAGTTTCCTCTTCTGTAAAATGGGAATAACAATAGTACCTACTTCAAAGGGCTGTATGAGGGCTAAATGAGTTAAAACATGCCAAGTGCTGAGAATCCGACACCAAGGAAGCACTGTGTGTTTGCTGTGATGAGCATCATTTTTACTGTCATTTTTCTTCAAAGCCTGTATTCATTTTACACTAGCCTGAAATGTCTGAGGACAGGGAAGTGTTTCAGACATTTCCACCTGCCCTGTACATCAGTAGGTAAAAGAAATTCGACAGTTAAGATTTCGACAGTTAAGATTTCGACAGTTAACTGATCTAAACTTGTTCTGCTTGTGATATTGTTTTCAAGCAGGGAGGTCTTAAGGAGGCTCTATCAGTCCACCATTATACAAATTAAAATTGTGCAGAGTATGGGCTATTCCCACCTGCCTAGAAATGGTGGAACACACAATTCCTGCATCTTAGTGGGTGCAATAACATCACGTCAGTCTGAAATACAGAAGATTAGAAAACAGTGAACTTTGAATTCAAGAGGTTTAGATTACTTGACAAAATAGGTTTTATTACAGAACAAAAAGAACTCTGGTTGATTGGGTTATAATGATGGTTCATACTACTTATTTCATTTTGATTGAAGGAAGTCTTATAAAAAGTAATTGTAACTCTTATTTTTGGTAGGGCAATACTTCACAGCTTTGTTGCCAGAGTGATGCCAATTTAGAAATCCTTCAGTTTTTCTTGTGCAAAAATATTGCATTGGGCATATCTTCTGAGGTTGAGGGATATGAGGTAATAAGAACACGTGTACTGGTTTTGTGGGGTCCCCTGAGGGTACACAGATGCTCACACTCTAAGGCTTACAACAGTGACAGTGCCCTCTCCCTGGCCCAGGTTGACCCCTGTGTGTGGCCCTAGTGTTCAAGGGGGGCATAAAAACATTCAGCCTTAGTCTAAAATCCCTATCATCTCCAAATTGCTCTAAAAAACTCTGGGGCCTGCTGAGGCTGAGGACCTGAGAGCATGGCTAAGGGAAGGGGGCATGCTTTTTCCTGAGAAGAGACTCACTGAGGGATGGAAATATTATCATAGAGCGTAAGAAACAAACTTTATATACCTTCAAAAGGTCAAACTATGACCAATATGTAAAAGCTACAGAAAGATAGATTTGGCTCAAAATAAAGAAACCATTCTTTAATGAGAACGATCCAAAGACAGAATGGCTAATGACTTCTCTATCACTGATGTGTAATGGCTCAGTTAAGTAACCTAAACGGAAACTATAACCTCTGTCAATGAGGCAAACAATACAAAAATTTCCCTCTAGTCTCTATCCTGTTTCCTAGTGGGTTGTTCTTGACTCACATGCACCTACTTCTTAAATACAACCAGGTGAATTTGGGGGCACCAATAGGACGAGAGTTCGCACCAGAGACCAGCAAGCACGGAGTTTTCAGATGACTCCAGGCTCCAAGCTGGCCCACGTGATGCCAAATGCAGCAGAGATGAGCTGTCCCCACTGAGCTCCACCCACATTACAGATCTGTGAGCAAAATAAATGTTGTTGTTTAAGACTACTATGTTTTGCGTGATCTGTTGTATGCCCTAGTGACCAGAGCAGAGGGCAGCCTTATCCATCAACATGATCCCATGTTATCCATAAACCAGAACAGGATTCCCAGGCTCACTTTATTCTAAGCCTTCCCTCCAAAAAGATCTCGGGAGCCCTACTGCTTAACAGTAGTGTGTTCCCATGGCAACTCTGTACCCTTATGCAAGATTCCTTCTTAGGGTTTTGTCAGAACATGCCCAACTCTGCCTTTATGTTGGGAGGTACACGTAAAGTACACGTAATCACCGGTAGTCAATTTTCCCAACGTCTTCTCTCCTGGAACTAAAGTGACCTTCAATTTTAACAAGTCTAAGCAGTTGAAGAAACAGAACAATCTGTTCCACTTCATTTCCCTCATAAACAGAACTCTCGACACTCGGCATCAGCTGTTTTATCAAAGGCTTCATCTTTATTCCTAAAAGTTGGGTCTGGACTCTAAGTGTAAAATTCACAAATGAAGGCAAGGGAACTCGGCAATAATTTCCACCTATGCTGTAAATTAAAACTAAATAGAACTAATAACTCTTGGTTATTCTGGCAGTTAGAAAAGCTTTTCAATGCTTGCATCTGTACAACCATAACAAACATTACAAAAACACAGGAGTCGGTCAGCTTAGTTGGTGGATTGGCACTGGAATGAAAGCTCCATGAGGAAATCTGTCTCTTTCAGTCATTATTATATCCCTGATGCCTGGCACCCAATAAAGCTCTGTTGAATGAATAAATGAACGAATGAATGAACTGCTGCATGAGTTTGAAAAGGTACTGCTTCAGCTGACTGTGCAAGCCTAACTTTATGGAGTAAACGTGTGATTCCCTGTGCCTGGGCAAACCCACAAGACTCATCCATAATTAAAACAAATTAGGTCTGTCAAATACAAAAGGAGCCTGGAGTCAAATTAATTAAACAAAGAGGCCAGTGGACTCAGATGGCTTTAATGCCTTGGGAGCCTACTAAGCAAGCCAAAACCTAACCCTGTAAAAACCTCAAGGTTAAGAAATCGCAACTTAAGGACAGCCAATCACAAACAGCCAGCAAGGCTTTCCCAAATATGGCACCCACTTGAGCTGTAGCCAATCTATTAATTTCCTTGCTTTGCTTCTGCCTCTTCTCTATAAGTCTTTCCCCTAGTTCTTGTTAGTGGAGCGCTCTGAGGGGGAGCAGAATATGTGACCCCAAAACATGTCACTCTGGCATGTGGATCATTTTGAAATGAGGCCAATCAAGACCCAACAGATTGAAGAAAAACTTTCACCTCTTCCTTAACTACCTAGAAGAATTTAGATATGGAGCCTGACCCAGAAAGGGAACTTTTTTTTTTTAAGTTAATTTTTATTTTTGGCTGTGTTGGGTCTTCGTTGCTGCACATGGGCTTTCTCTAGTTGTGGCGAGCAGGGGCTACTCTTTGCTGAGGTGCGCGGGCTTCTCATTGTGGTGGCTCCTCTTGTTGCAGAGCACAGGCTCTAGGAACGTGGGCTTCAGTAGTTGCAGCACAAGGGCTCAGTAGTTGTGGCACACGGTTCCTAGAGCACACAAGCTTCAGTAGTTGCAGCACAAGGGCTCAGTAGTTGAGGCGTGCAGGCTCTAGGGCATGCGGGCTTCAGTAGTTGTGGCATGAAGGCTCCATAGTTGTGGCTCACAGGCTCTAGAGTACAGGCTCAGTAGTTGCAGTGCACGGGCTTGGTTGCTCTGTGACATGTGGGATCTTCCCGGGCCAGGGATTGAACCCATGTCCCCTGCATTGGCAGGCTGATTCTTAACCACTGCGCCACCAGGGAAGTCCAAAAGGTAACTGTTATCAGAGATAACTTTTAATCTGAAAGAGCTATCTGTATGGCAGGTAAACATTAACTAGCAAACATCTGCTCTTCTACTGCCCTGTGAAAAATATAGCTATAAAAACATATATAGGCCTTCCCTGGTGGCGCAGTGGTTGAGAGGCCGCCTGCCGATGCAGGGGGGACACGGGTTCGCGCCCCGGTCTGGGGGGATCCCACATGCCGCGGAGCGGCTAGGCCCGTGGGCCATGGCCCCTGAGCCTGCGCGTCCGGAGCCTGTGCTCCGCAACGGGAGAGGCCACAACGGTGAGAGGCCCATGTACCACAAAAAAAAGAAAAAAACCAAAAAAACAAAAAAATCCCATATATATACACACACATATATGCATATATGTCTGTATATATAAATATACATATATATTTGAAAAGTCCTTCTATTGTCATTCTCCACTTTGAAGCCTCAACTGCTAAATCTGCCCTTGTGTCTCACTGTCTTTATGAGGCTCCCATATGTATGTCATTAAATTTGTTTTCTCCTGTTAATCTGTCTTATGCCACTTTAATTAATACCAGCCAAAGAATCTGTAAGCGTAAAGGAAAAATTTTTTCTCCCCAGCAGCTCCTAACCAGTTTGGAATTGCCTGATTCAAAGAGATTTTTGCTCAAATAAACTCTTAAACTTTTTAATACGCTTCAGTTTATCTTTTAGCACTGGGACTATGTTAAGAATAACTAAGAAATATAAAAATGTGGCACCTGTGTAGTCTGGATGATGGTCAAGTCATTCATACAAGAAATTCCTGCTCCCATAGCAGCTCGGAGGCCAGCTGTCCCAAACTCCATTCGAGCCCCAAAACATTTTTGCAGTTCTTCTTTATTACCTTCTGCAATTAGTTGTTTCACTGACTCCAAAGTTAAGGGATTCTGCAAAACAGAAATGTACATACCAGGTGAATAAAGTAATGAAAAATCAGAAATATAAGAAAAACCTCACGATAACTCTAACCTATAGGAGAAAAAATATATATATATTATAATATATGTATATGTATGTATTTGAAAAGCATATATACATGCGTACATATACACGTAGAGGCTTTTCAATTTTCTGATGCTTTTAAAATCTGAAATATGAAGTTGGTCCTTTAAAAATTATAATGCATGACATTGTGATATAATGTTTTTATTTAGTTTTTGTTCCTAGTTCCTGGCAAAGAGGTCATAAAACCCTTGAAATTTCCTGAATGATTAGGATGAAAGGAGCATCTTTTGTTATTCATAACAAACCCGTTTCAGCCATACCTGAGTTTATTCTACTGATGTGACTCTTGGGAACCAACCAAGTGATTAGATGGTTGGAACTTTCAGCCCCACCCCCTGACTTCCAAGAAGGGGAGGTGCTGGAGATTAAGTTCAATCACTGATCATTTAATCAATCATGCCTATGTAGGAGCACTGAAGCTCTGCACTCCTTCCCACCATACTTTGCCCTATGGATCTCTTCCAACTGGCTGTTCTTGAGTTGTGTCCTTCATAATAAAATTGGTAATAGTAAGTAAAGTGCCTTCCTGAGTTCTGTGAGCTGTCCTCCAATTACCAAACCCAAGAAGGGGGTCACGAGACCCCTGGTTTATCACTGGTTGGTCAGAAGGAGAGGTGACAACCTGGGACTTTTGCAGGTATCTGAAGTGGGGACAATATTGTGGGACTAAGCCCTGAAGCTGGAGGGTCTGTGCTAACTCTGTACCGAGTTAAATTGTTGGACACCCAGTTGGTGTCCACAGAGAAATGGAAACTAGCACGGTGTGAAAAACTCACACATTTGGTATCAGAAGTATTGTGAGTAAAAGGAAATAGTTTTTCCTTTATAATGTGAGTATTATTTTCTTTCCTACAAAGGTAAGCACTTTTGGAGAAATGGAATGAACATACAGGTTCTGGGATCTAACACTTAGAATAGAATCCCAGCAACACCACCACTCACCAACTCTATACTGTTGGGCAGATTATTTAGCTTCTTGAATTCTCAGTTTCCTCATCTCTAAAATGGGAACAATCTATAACCTTCCTTACAAGGTGGTTTACATTAAATTCATGTAAAACACCCTTTTCTATCTGGCACCTAGTAATAATCAAATGTTCATTTTCTTCCCTAATGTCTTCAAATTTTCCCAGAGTGATAGCGTATATAATTTAAATCAACACCTTACTTTGGTAGTGTTTTATAAGTTGTTTTTTTTTTTTTTTTTTGCGGTACGCGGGCCTCTCACTGTTGTGGCCTCTCCCGTTGTGGAGCAACAGGCTCCGGACGCGCAGGCTCAGCGGCCATGGCTCACGGGCCCAGCCGCTCCGCGGCATGTGGGATCTTCCCGGACCGGGGCACGAACCCGTGTCCCCTGCATCGGCAGGCGGACCCTCAACCACTGCGCCACCAGGGAAGCCCTATAAGTTGTAAAATACTTTCACATACCTGGTCAAATTTGAATCTTGCAATGACTATAAGAGGCAGGCAAATAACAAAAACCCCATTTCATAGACGGGGAAGCCTCAGAGATTAAGTGTCCTGCTTAAACTGTATATGTAAGCATTAACTTAGTACCTTTCATATTACATTAACTGCTTCAAACAGACACTCACATGAATCATTTAAGTTCATTTTAAATTGCCCTTTTTTTGTGCAATAGTTGCATAAAATGTTAAGCATGGAGAAAAACGACAATTACATTAATTCCATAACAAACTTTTAAATTAAGGATTCAGGGTAACAAAGAGTAAGTACTTTATATTCTATCTTACAGTAATCACCTCAGTGGATGACCATGCAGGCAAAACATGGCCACATAATTAAACTTTGAAATGCTACTGCAATAAAATGCTGCCTTTTGGAATTAAGCCCACATTTTCAGATTGTTCCAGATTCAAAAGGAAACAAGTAAAAGCCCACCTTTTTGGTTAAAAGCAATAGCCACTGACCACAGAGCACAATCTGACCTATCAGATTGTTAGGTGCCTGCAAGTTAGGGCTCAGATCTGCAATGTAAAAGAGGTTCAATAAATACTTGCTGAGTGAATGAGAAAACAGAGACTTCAAGGTCACACCCAATATCCAGTGATTCTTTCATTCACAGTGTAGATTTGGAAAATCCTAACTGGCCTTTGATATCTATAAAAGAACTAATAGCTTGAGAGAAACCAAAGGAGGCAGAAAGGTAAGCATAAAAAAATCAAGAGGTCAGCAGCGATCAGTCATACGTGGCAGTGACACATTTGTCAGCACCCAGAGGAACAGGGATGGAGGCACAGTGGAAATGCTCAGAGGGCACCTGCTGGTGCCCCGTCACCCTTGGGGCAATCAGACTACAGGGCTGCAATGCTTTTAGCTGGCAGGAAGTTCCCTCTGGGTGCCTGTTTCAAGCCAAAGGAAAAATTGAGAGAGGAAAGAACAAGAGGAGTGGTAGCAAAAAGATGAAAAGGACAACACCCCCTCACCTCTATCCAGTGAGGTACTCTCTCTGTATACAAAGATACAACATTTTGTGGAAACTGGGTTTTTATTTCTTCAAAGGGAAAGTTTTATGAAACTAATTCATTACCAACTATGGATTCAAAAGATTTCTACTCACTGCCAGGTAGTGAGTTATCAGAAATGGAGACCTTTTCCTCCGCTAAAGAATTCACAAGAATTACAAAGAAAAACCACCCAAGGAGTTGCCAGTAGCATCAGAAACACGATGTGCTGGCATTTCATGTGAAGTGGGGGGCCCGAGGGTGAAGATGAAGGCCTGGCCCCTGCAGAAAGGGCTTGTAGTCTTCCTCACTGACTCAAATATTTCAGGTCTCTACTATTTCAGTGCACAGTAATGCACTGTGCAGGACTATGGACCATGGAATTTCGTGAATGAGTGCGCAGCACCGGCTATATGATTTGCTGGGGCCCAGTAACAAATAAACCCACAAGCAAGTGTTTTTGTTTTTGTTTTTGGCCAATCGCTAAGAGCTATGAGGAAAAAGAACAGTCTGTTTAGGGAGAGTATTAGAGAGAAATAATTTACCCTTGGAAGCCAGGGAAGCCCTCTCTGCATAAGCCACATTTAAGTTCAGACCTGAAACATAAGTAACGACATGAGAAACAAGTTCATTAGAAGAGAGCTGAGAGGAACTTTCCGGGAATACAAACAGCGTGCACGACGTAACAAGTAGGAAACGAGAGACTCAGGTTAGAAAGGAGACAGGGAGTGATGTCCGGAGCTCGGTCACTGCTTCTCTGTTTGCTCCAACACCTAAGAGAGTGAAAAGCTAGGGTGCTGTGTCCAAGGGGTTCCCCCTTCTTCTTCTCAGCAAAGTCTGAGACCTGAGAAAAACACCTGAAGCCAAGCGGGTCCAACCGAAAGGATCCATGTTTGCAACCCAGCGCCTGGGAATGCTGCTCCGCCAAGTACCCGGTAGTTTGAGGAACAGGCGGGAACAAATAGGGGTCGGTGGCGGACGCACTGCGGACTGCAGCGGACGAGCCCGCGGTCTGAGTGGCAGGAACGCGCGCTCGCCTCAATTAGGCAAGACCCCTGAGCCCCGCCGCATTCAGACCAACCCCGCTCGCTGCCCCGCTCCCGAACTTGCAGTCCCCGCCCGCCGGATGGCTGATTTTGTCCCGGGACAACCTTTCCTGGACAAACTTCAAATGTGCCACAAACCAGCCACACCGACGAGGCCTTGCCGCCGCCACGTCCTCCTCCTCGGTCTTCCGGCAGGACCAGCGCGGCCCCGCGGGGCGGAAGGAAGGGAAGGAAGGAAGCGCCTGCACCGGCACTCGCCGCAGGAAAGGCGGCGCGGCGCCCGAGGAGCGGGCAGGGGGTCCTGCACCTCCTCCGGGCGCTCCCGGCCCCCCAGCGCCCTTCACCTTGTCCCATCGCAGCCACCGGGCCGTCTCCTGGTCCAGCCGGGCGTCCATGCCGGGGCCGCCGCGTCCCGGAGCCCCCGTCCCCGCCGCCATCCCTGCGCTGCCACCACCAAGTTCAAGAGGTGGCGAGATCGTCCTTCCGGCGGGGCGGGGCGGGGCGGGGCGCGGGCGGGGCGGAGAGAACCGGCTCGGGATCCACCCGTGTCGGGAGGAAAATGACGTGCTCCGCCGGGGAGCAGCCTCCTTGCAGTGTACAGTTGCGCCTCTGGGGGCAGCGGGATAGAAGCGTGGGGTGGAAGTGGGCGTGCTGAAAGATCCCGAGGTCACTCCCATTCATACAACAGCTATTCATTCAGTTCCTACTGTGCGCCAGGCACCGGGTCAGGAGCTGGGATCCAAGCACGGGTAAGCCCAGAAAGGAGCCTAAAAGTTATGTAGAAATTCTGAGAGTCAAGAATAACCGAGAAAAATCTTGAAAAAGAAGAAAAAGTGGGAGGATTAAGACAAATAGATGATAAAACAGAATGGAGAGTCCAGAAACTAATCTACACGTATATGGACAGTTCATTTATTTCAATGGTGGCGCCGCAGAGCGAGTGGAAAGGACTTACTTTCAATTAATGGTGCTAGGTCAACTGGATATCTATGTAAGAAGAAGAAAAAAGAAACTTGAGCCCCTACCTCACATCACACCTCATATAAATATGCATTCCAGGCTAATTGTAGATAAGTGTGAAAGGTGCAATGAAACTTCTAGAAACTAAGGAGTTCATCTTCATGACCTTAGGACCACTAAGCCATAAAGGAGATGCATGCAGTGAGCATGAAAAGGTATGCGTAAGAATGTCTCTAGCAGCATTATTTGTAATAGCCCCAAACTGGAAACAACCCAAATGTACATCAACAATACAGTGGATAAATACATTATATTATATTCATACAATGATGTAGAAAAATTGTGGTGTATTCATACAGCTGTGAAAATGAACTACTGTACACATCATAGATGAGCCTCACAAACATTATGTTGAATGAGCGACATATTGGCTCATTCCATATATGTGAAATTCTAGAATAGGTAAAAATATAAGGAAAGAAAGCAGATCAATGGTTTCTAAGAACTGTGGGTGGGGACAAGGGTTGCCTGCAAAGGGCACAAGGGAATTTGGGGAAAGATGGAACTGTTCTGTGTCTTGGCTGAGGTTATGATAAACACAATACACATTTATCAAGCCTCATAGAATCGTACATGCTAAAGGGTAAATTTAAAATTATTTTTGAAGTCTTAAGAGTTAAAACTTTTAAAGGAGGCAAAACTAATCTATGGGCATCAGGAGAATGGTTACTTTGGGCAGGAAGAGGGTGCCTCCTGGGCCCATCCTTTTTCTTGACCTGGGCAGTAGTTGCTCAGGTGTGTTCACTTTGTAATAATTCACTGGGCTGCACCTATGAACTGTGCATTTTCTTTGTATTCTATTTCTTTCTTTTTCATATTCATTTATTTATTCTCTTTCAGTTTTAAAAAGAAACCAATATGTATCCAGGATCTATGAGAGCTAAGTCTAATGAGAGGCATATCATACAATATGATCATATAATCACATGAGTTAATATGTAATCATTTCAGTTAATATGTAATTACAAACTGATTGGAAGGAAAGCAAGGAGATTCCATGAGGGTGCATGTTAGTGGGCTGTCCTGGTGGGGGAAGCTTCCCTCAGCACTTGAAGCTTGTGAGGAGACAGGATGCAAGGATGCAGTTAATGTTGGGGGGAGGCAGCCTGGAAAATGCTTTCCAGATAGAGACCCTCTAAATGTGGTGCTTCCCCCAAATGAAAGCTACAAGAAGCCAGATCACAGGGAAGTAGAAGAGAAGAAGGATAGGCAGCCTCAGTCTCCCCATCTCTCAGCTTGTTGTAGGTCTGCCACACTTGGGCTGTCTCCTTTCTCTGCACCAGACCAACCTTCTTTTCAACATCCTAGGACAGAAATTGTGGACACAAAGAGTCTGAGACCAGACAGGTGTCGACTGAAGAAAAACGCACAACCTAAAGTTGTGAGTTAAGTTTTATTCAGGGACCTTACTGAGGACTGTAGCCCGGAGACAGACTCTGAGAGAGCTCTGAGGAACTGCTCCGACTAGATAATGGGGGGGAACCAGGATATGTAGGAGTTTGCTGGAAAAAAAACATGTAGTTGAACGTCAAAAGATTACTGCTAATCACAAAAAACAGACATCTCAAGGTAATGATTTTAACGCTTGTGTGGGAAGATGCAAAAGTCTGAGCTCATTGAAATTATCCCTTAGATATGCATCTTAACTATCTAGGGCCAGTATTCAAAGCACAGAGGGTTTCCAGGTTTTCTCCATTCTGCATGCCCCTCAGGGTGCACTTTCGGGGGGATTGGGGGGAGACAACGGCTAATGGCTTGATGGTGGGCAACATTTGTTGTTTACTGGAATGGCAGGCAACGTTTCCTTTCCACACAGGTCTCACTTGCACTTGCTTCCCTCCCAAATACCAGAGCTCTCCCAGGTGGGGCTGTGCAGCTTCCAGCCTTCTGCCACGGTAGGGCGGTAGGGCGGGGTGGGGGAGGGAGGGAGGGGGGTCCTCGGCCTCAGAGCTCCAATCACGCCCTCCACCATGGGGGTGGTTGCAGCTGAGTCTCTGCTGCATTTCCAAAGGTGTGGGGAATGGGGAGGCCCGAGGATCTTCTGACACTTTTCATTACATTCGTCAGCACAGAGATTATGGGCCCATGGAGACATCCTGTCAGAACTATTTAACTTCCTTTTGGGACACCAAGGGGCAGGTTTCTCAGTGCTCAATATTCAAGGAAAGAAAGCAGGTAGGTTTTTTTTTTTTTTTTTTTTTTTTGGCTGCATTGGGTCTTCATTGCTGCACACGGGCTTTCTCTAGTTGCGGCGAGCGGGGGCTACTCTTCATTGTGGTGTGCAGGCTTCTCATTGCGGTGGCTTCTCTTGTTGCAGAGCATGGGCTCTAGGCTCATGGCTGCAGTAGTTGTGGCACGTGGGCTCTAGAGCGCAGGCTCAGTAGTTGTGGCACACGGGCTTAGTTGCTCCGTGGCATGTGGGATCTTCCTGGACCAGGGCTCGAACCCTTGTCCCCTGCATTGGCAGGCGGATTCTTAACCACTGCGCCACCAGGGAAGCCCAGCAGGTAGGATTTTTCAAGCCTAGAAGAACTTTTCACAAGGAAGTTGAGAAGTTGTAAGTAAATCCTCCTCCCTTAACTTATGAAGGTCGCCAAGAGCTCAGGTACTGTGCTAAAAACAATGCACAATGGCCTTACTCTGTTACTCCCTTCTGCTTCCCGTGGGAAGCAGAAAAAGTCCTCTGAGGTTGTGTCATGGGGTCTCTATGTCCAGGAGACTTTCCCAGGGTCTCCTGTAACTAAGATGCCTGAACTGGAGGTCTTTTCGGTTCTCACAATGATGCTACAGTGACCTGAATCAGTTGATTCTCACACATGATCCCCAAATTAACATTTCATGTCTGAAGAAGCCCATGTAGAATAATAGAATGTTGGAGCAGAAAGAGTTCTTGGGGAACAATTTGGACCTCGTTTAATAGATGAGGGAACAGAGACAGAAAATTTCCAAGCCCCTCTTCGAGACACACAGCTGGTCACAGGCAAAGCCAGGATTCTTGTGCCTGCTCTCCTGATTTTCTAATCCAGTGTTCAATCAATCCCCAGCTCCACTCAGCCCATTTCTACACATTTCTATAGAAGGAAGTTCCATGAACTCTGGGAACCTGTTTCCATTTGATAGCGGCTGGGTCTTGATGAAAAACAAATATTAACCATTTCTGGCATTGATAACATTAGGTGATGCTTAAAATAATTTAATTTGTTTGTGCATGCTCTCCTGCCGCCTGAGAACTGTTTCACACATGGATGCCCCATTTTTCCTTGGAAACCTTCTCAACTTCCCCAGACACCTTGTCAGCAATTCTACCAGTTCTTTTGTATCCAGCCCAGGATAAAAGAAAGTTCTAAAACTTTTTACTTTGGGAAGCTTTAAATATTTACTAAAATTGATCCCCATGTAAATATCACCCAGGTCAACTATGATCACCCATGCCAATCTTGTTTCGTGTACCCACTTCTCTCTCCTGTATATTTTGAGGAAGATTCCAGACATCATATAATTTCAACTATAAATTTTTTAGTGTATGTCTCTAGAAGATCAGGACACATTAAAAATAACCACAAAATCATTATCTCACCTAAAAATTTTAAAGTTAAAAATTCCTTACTACAACTAAATATCCATTGAGTGTTCAAATTTGCAACCATCTAGTGTCTTAATTTTTTTTAATAGCTTGCTTGAATCAGTAGCCAAATAATCTTGCTATTGGTTAATAAGCCTTGTAGATCTCCTTTAATCTATAGGTTCTGACTAAATTTCCTTGTAATTTATTTGTTGAAGAAACTGGATTGTTTGTCCCATAGGGTTTCCCAACAGTCTGGGTTTTGCCGATTGTGTTTCTGTGGTGTCTGTTAACACGTTCCTCTGTCTCTTGTATTGCTTGTAAATTCATCACATTATAATTTTCTCTTCATAGTCTCTCCCTCACTAGTCTCCTTGAGGACAGGAATGGTGTTTTGTTTATCTTAGCCTGCCCAGAGCCTAGCACTGTAAGTGCCCAGTAAATGCGTGAAGAAATGACTGAAGTCAGGAGGCTGTTTATTCCTCGCTCATGAAGGAAAAGGGGAGGCTCTAGAGTCGGGACTGGATCTTGGCTCTACCCTTTGTTCTCTGGGGGCCCTGGGCAAGTCACTTAACCTCTCTTGGCCTCAGTCTCCTTATTTCTAAAATGGACGCAATCATAGTGTCCAGCTCATAGGGGTGATGTGGGGCTTACGTGAGGAACTACAGGTAAAATGCTTAGCCTAGTGTCTGGCATGAAGTAAGCACTCAATAAACGTTAGCTGTTATCATGAAAATTTTACTAGCTTGACAATCTACATCAGTCAGGATAGCCTAGGCTAAACAGAATAAATGAATCCCTAAATCTCAGGACTTAGTGAAACAAAGCTTTTTGTTGCTTGGTCATGCTCATGTTCAGGGTGAGTCAGGGGACGCTATACCCCAC